TCTTATAATGTGGACACAAAAAAAACACTTTTATTTTTGAGAAAAAAACACAAAGGAAAAAGAAAAAAAAAAAAAAAAAAAAAAAAAAAAAACCACAAACAAAAAAAGCAAGTTTAAAAAAAAAAACACAAAAAAAAAAAAAAACCTTTAAAAACACATGTTATTAACCCGGGCCCAAATTTCATTAGGTGTCCAAAAAAACCACCACCCTGTGATTGACAACATACTTTTTATCCCTCCTTTTGGCTAAGACCATTTTTTTACCGAAACCAACAAAGACTTATTGATGTATGTTCCTTAATTTACCCCCACTGGGGTGTATCTTGGACCCCTTACCCCCCCACTGCCAAAACCCCCGCTTAGCCCTACAACAAAACCACACCACCCTTTTTTTACTTAGGGAAAAAATTAGAAGTGTTGTAACCAAAACAAAAAGGTTTTGTCGACACAAAACCGAACCCCCCCCCACTTTTTTCAAGCCCCAAAAATTACACAAAAATAAAAAAAAAAAAAAACTAAAGAAACCATTCCCCACCCTTTTGCGCCCTGGAAATCCAGGCCGCCCCCCACGCCTGCACATAGCCCCCCTGGGGGTCCAGGCCTTCCCCACACCTAACCTTAACCCCCATGGAGATCCAGGCCGCCCCCCACGCCTGCACATAGCCCCCCTGGAGGTCCAGGCCTTCCCCACACCTAACCTTAACCCCCATGGGGATCCAGGCCCTCCCCACACCTAACCTTAACCCCCATGGAGATCCAGGCCGCCCCCCACGCCTGCACATAGCCCCCCTGGAGGTCCAGGCCTTCCCCACACCTAACCCTACAACCCCCCTGGAGGTCCAGGCCGCCCCCACGCCTGCACAGAGCCCCCCTGGAGATCCAGGCCGCCCCCCACGCCTGCACATAGCCCCCCTGGGGGTCCAGGCCTTCCCCACACCTAACCTTAACCCCCATGGGGATCCAGGCCCTCCCCACACCTAACCTTAACCCCCATGGAGATCCAGGCCGCCCCCCACGCCTGCACATAGCCCCCCTGGAGGTCCAGGCCTTCCCCACACCTAACCTTAACCCCCATGGGGATCCAGGCCCTCCCCACACCTAACCTTAACCCCCATGGAGATCCAGGCCGCCCCCCACGCCTGCACATAGCCCCCCTGGAGGTCCAGGCCTTCCCCACACCTAACCCTAACCCCCATGGAGGTCCAGGCCGCCCCCACGCCTGCACAGAGCCCCCCTGGAGATCCAGGCCGCCCCCCACGCCTGCACATAGCCCCCCTGGGGGTCCAGGCCTTCCCCACACCTAACCTTAACCCCCATGGAGATCCAGGCCGCCCCCACGCCTGCACATAGCCCCCCTGGAGGTCCAGGCCTTCCCCACACCTAACCTTAACCCCCATGGAGATCCAGGCCGCCCCCCACGCCTGCACATAGCCCCCCTGGAGGTCCAGGCCTTCCCCACACCTAACCTTAACCCCCATGGGGATCCAGGCCCTCCCCACACCTAACCTTAACCCCCATGGAGATCCAGGCCCTCCCCACACCTAACCTTAACCCCTACGGAGATCCAGGCCCTCCCCACACCTAACCTTAACCCCCATGGAGATCCAGGCCTTCCCCACACCTAACCTTAACCCCCATGGGGATCCAGGCCTTCCCCACACCTAACCTTAACCCCCATGGGGATCCAGGCGTTCCCCACACCTAACCTTAACCCCCATGGAGATCCAGGCCGCCCCCACGCCTGCAAATAGCCCCCCTGGAGGTCCAGGGCTTCCCCACACCTAACCTTAACCCCCATGGAGATCCAGGCCGCCCCCCACGCCTGCACATAGCCCCCCTGGAGGTCCAGGCCTTCCCCACACCTAACCTTAACCCCCATGGGGATCCAGGCCCTCCCCACACCTAACCTTAACCCCTACGGAGATCCAGGCCCTCCCCACACCTAACCTTAACCCCCATGGAGATCCAGGCCTTCCCCACACCTAACCTTAACCCCCATGGGGATCCAGGCGTTCCCCACACCTAACCTTAACCCCCATGGAGATCCAGGCCGCCCCCACGCCTGCACATAGCCCCCCTGGAGGTCCAGGGCTTCCCCACACCTAACCTTAACCCCCATGGAGATCCAGGCCGCCCCCCACGCCTGCACATAGCCCCCCTGGAGGTCCAGGCCTTCCCCACACCTAACCTTAACCCCCATGGGGATCCAGGCCCTCCCCACACCTAACCTTAACCCCCATGGAGATCCAGGCCCTCCCCACACCTAACCTTAACCCCTACGGAGATCCAGGCCCTCCCCACACCTAACCTTAACCCCCATGGAGATCCAGGCCTTCCCCACACCTAACCTTAACCCCCATGGGGATCCAGGCGTTCCCCACACCTAACCTTAACCCCCATGGAGATCCAGGCCGCCCCCACGCCTGCACATAGCCCCCCTGGAGATCCAGGCCTTCCCCACACCTAACCTTAACCCCCATGGAGATCCAGGCCGCCCCCCACGCCTGCACATAGCCCCCCTGGAGGTCCAGGCCTTCCCCACACCTAACCTTAACCCCCATGGAGACCCAGGCCCTCCCCACACCTAACCTTAACCCCCATGGAGATCCAGGCCCTCCCCACACCTAACCTTAACCCCTACGGAGATCCAGGCCCTCCCCACACCTAACCTTAACCCCCATGGAGATCCAGGCCTTCCCCACACCTAACCTTAACCCCCATGGGGATCCAGGCCTTCCCCACACCTAACCTTAACCCCCATGGAGATCCAGGCCGCCCCCACGCCTGCACATAGCCCCCCTGGAGGTCCAGGCCTTCCCCACACCTAACCCTAACCCCCATGGAGATCCAGGCCGCCCCCCCACGCCTGCACATAGCCCCCCTGGAGATCCAGGCCGCCCCCCACGCCTGCACATAGCCCCCCTGGAGGTCCTGGGCTTCCCCACACCTAACCTTAACCCCCATGGAGTTCCAGGCCTTCCCCACACCTAACCATAACCCCCATCGAGAACCAGGCCGCCCCCCACGCCTGCACATAGCCCCCCTGGAGGTCCAGGCCTTCCCCACACCTAACCTTAACCCCCATGGAGGTCCAGGCCTTCCCCACACCTAACCTTAACCCCCATAGAGATCCAGGCCTTCCCCACACCTAACCTTAACCCCCAAGGAGATCCAGGCCGCCCCCACGCCTGCACATAGCCCCCCTGGAGGTCCAGGCCTTCCCCACACCTAACCTTAACCCCCATGGAGACCCAGGCCCTCCCCAGACCTAACCCTAACCGGTCTGGAGGTCCTGGTAGCCCCCACACCTGAACATAGCCCCCCTGGAGAACCAGGCCTTTCCCACCCCTCAGCCTACAAATCAGCCTAAGTGTTTTGCCAAAAAACCTAAGTGTCTATGCTGTAGTACTGGGCTCGCTGTGGCCGAGTGGCAAAGGCGATGGAATGGGGAGTCATTGAGGTCCTCCCACGCAGGTTCGAATCCTGCCCACAGCACTTAGAATTATTTTCACATTTGCTTGGAGCACCAGGCCTGTGATGGCTCTATTTCAAGCCGTACTTCAGGGCTTTTTTCGGGGTTAAAACCTCCGAGGACCCCCCCTGGGTCTCAGGCTTTCCAGTGCTGCATTTATGTCCGGATTTCTAAGCTTTTTTCGGGGATAGAACCTCCACAGAATCCCCTCGGTTCTGGGACCCGCATGGCCCTATTTTAAGCCGGATTTAAGGGCTTTTTTCGGGGTTAAAACCTCCGAGGACCCCCCTGGGTCTCAGGCTTTCCAGTGCTGCATTTATGTCCGGATTTCTGTCCGGATTTCTAAGCTTTTTTCGGGGATAGAACCTCCACAGAATCCCCTCGGTTCTGGGACCCGCATGGCCCTATTTTAAGCCGGATTTAAGGGCTTTTTTCGGGGTTAAAACCTCCGAGGACCCCCCTGGGTCTCTGGCTTTCCAGTGCTGCATTTATGTCCGGATTTCTAAGCTTTTTTCGGGGATAGAACCTCCACAGAATCCCCCCGGTTCTGGGACCCGCATGGCCCTATTTTAAGCCGGATTTAAGGGCTTTTTTCGGGGTTAAAACCTCCAGGGACTCCCCTTGGTTCTGGGACCTGTCATTGCTCTTTTTCAAGACAAATTTCATGCGCTCTCTCCCGGGGAGAAATGCGCCCACCCTTATTCTTTGAGAATATGTGTGTGTGTGTGTGTGTGAGTGTCTGTGAGAGTGTGTGTGTCTGTGAGTGTGTGTGTGAGAGTGTGTGTGTGTGTCTGTGAGAGTGTGTGTGTGTGTGAGTGTCTGTGAGAGTGTGTGTGTGTGTGTGTGTCTGTGAGAGTGTGTGTGTGAGTGTCTGTGAGAGTGTGTGTGTCTGTGAGTGTGTGTGTGAGGACTTGCGGTGTGTAGCCACTAATTAAACCTATTTCATTATTTCAGACATGGAACAAAAATAGACCAGATTAACATATTATTTATTATATCTCAGTTAAAATATGAAAGTTTGGGATTAATTGTTATATTATTATTATGAAAGAGAAACAGAGAAACTTAGTATTGTGTTGTTTTAATGTCTAAGCTGGTAAACTCTACATAATCTACATCTTTGACTTCTGTAAAGCTGTCTCTTTAAAAAGCTCTTTGTCGCTTTGTGTTGTTAGATTCATAGATTTTTAACATAATTCAATGTTTATTTCATTGATTAATATAATTCTAATCAGCTCCTTTGAGTTGTTTTACTTCAAACATGTATGAATGAATTTTACAAACACATGAGTGGGACATTAATCAGACTGTGGCTGTTTCTGGTTCAGTCCAAACTATAAACGTTAAAGATAAAATCCGTGTCGTTCCGAGCATCTGGCTGCGACTGAACAGCCGAGAGTCGAGGAGACGTCCCGTAGAAACCTCTGAGCCCAGATGTTGCAGACAGCGCTCACAGCTGCTCTGGGATCAACGTCAACAATGTGAGGACCTCCTGCGCCGCCGCCATGAGCCTCCTGCGCTGCCGCCATCAGCCTCCTGCGCTGCCGCCATGAGCCTCCTGCGCCGCCGCCATCAGCCTCCTGCGCCGCCGCCATGAGCCTCCTGCGCCGCCGCCATGAGCCTCCTGCGCCGCCGCCATCAGCCTCCTGCGCCGCCGCCATGAGCCTCCTGCGCCGCCGCCATCAGCCTCCTGCGCCGCTGCCATGAGCCTCCTGCGCCGCCGCCATGAGCCTCCTGCGCCGCCGCCATCAGCCTCCTGCGCCGCCGCCATGAGCCTCCTGCGCCGCCGCCATGAGCCTCCTGCGCCGCCGCCATGAGCCTCCTGCGCCGCCATCAGCCTCCTGCACCGCCGCCATGAGCCTCCTGCGCCGCCGCCATGAGCCTCCTGCGCCACCGCCATCAGCCTCCTGCGCCGCCGCCATCAGCCTCCTGCACCGCCGCCATGAGCCTCCTGCGCCGCCATCAGCCTCCTGCGCCGCCGCCATCAGCCTCCTGCACCGCCGCCATGAGCCTCCTGCACCGCCGCCATGAGCCTCCTGCACCGCCGCCATCAGCCTCCTGCACCGCCGCCATGAGCCTCCTGCGCCGCCGCCATGAGCCTCCTGCACCGCCGCCATGAGCCTCCTGCACCGCCGCCATGAGCCTCCTGCGCCGCCGCCATGAGCCTCCTGCGCCGCCATGAGCCTCCTGCGCCACCGCCATCAGCCTCCTGCGCCGCCGCCATCAGCCTCCTGCGCCGCCATCAGCCTCCTGCACCGCCGCCATGAGCCTCCTGCACCGCCGCCATGAGCCTCCTGCGCCGCCGCCATGAGCCTCCTGCACCGCCGCCATGAGCCTCCTGCACCGCCGCCATGAGCCTCCTGCGCCGCCGCCATGAGCCTCCTGCGCCGCCATGAGCCTCCTGCGCCACCGCCATCAGCCTCCTGCGCCGCCGCCATCAGCCTCCTGCGCCGCCATCAGCCTCCTGCACCGCCGCCATGAGCCTCCTGCACCGCCGCCATGAGCCTCCTGCGCCGCCGCCATCAGCCTCCTGCACCGCCGCCATGAGCCTCCTGCGCCGCCATCAGCCTCCTGCGCCGCCGCCATCAGCCTCCTGCGCTGCCGCCATGAGCCTCCTGCGCCGCCGCCATCAGCCTCCTGCACCGCCGCCATGAGCCTCCTGCACCGCCGCCATCAGCCTCCTGCGCCGCCGCCATCAGCCTCCTGCGCTGCCGCCATGAGCCTCCTGCGCTGCCGCCATGAGCCTCCTGCACCGCCGCCATGAGCCTCCTGCACCGCCGCCATGAGCCTCCTGCGCCGCCGCCATCAGCCTCCTGCACCGCCGCCATCAGCCTCCTGCGCCGCCGCCATGAGCCTCCTGCACCGCCGCCATGAGCCTCCTGCGCCGCCGCCATGATCCTCCTGCACCGCCGCCATGAGCCTCCTGCGCCGCCGCCATCAGCCTCCTGCACCGCCGCCATGAGCCTCCTGCACCGCCGCCATGAGCCTCCTGCGCCGCCGCCATCAGCCTCCTGCACCGCCGCCATCAGCCTCCTGCGCCGCCGCCATGAGCCTCCTGCGCCGCCGCCATCAGCCTCCTGCACCGCCGCCATGAGCCTCCTGCACCGCCGCCATGAACCCGGCCCCAGAGGAATGACGTGTATCTGTCGCAACAAGTTCTGCAGCTACAGAGAAGAAGGCCAACTAAGGTCCTTTCAATTTAATGTTGACTAAACAACTACTGTAGCCACAGCTGCCCTGGGGCAACCAGTCTGTACCATCAGCCCCTCCACCACCTACCATTCACACACCAGACTCATTCTAATGTGGGGGAAGTGTCTTGCCTAAGGACACAACAGTTTGGCATTTTACAGCCGCAGCCGCCCCACTGTGGCACCTGCTGTTCCCAGAGGTCTCCCATCACAGCACTAACCAGGCCCTGCCCTGCTTAGCTTCAGAGGTCTGACCGGATCTGGCTGCAATGTTATGCACATCAAGTTTATGATAATGTAAACGCTGTAAACGCCGCCATGTTGGATGTATTCATGTATTGACCTTTCTTGGACCAGGATCGTTGCGCGGAGAATTCTGAATCTGTTAATGTGAGTTTAATCTCATTTTAGAATTATTAATGTTTATTAAAAAGAAACTAAAACAACCCAAAGCCTGCATTATGTTTAATAAGTGGTCGGAATGAGACTAAATCCACATTATTCCCTGTGATCAATGGTCTCTATGGGAAAGAAGCTCAATTGTTTTCCCATTAGCAGCAGAAGCTCAGGTCGATGGTCGTTAGCCGCTAATGTGAGCTAATACATGCTAACGCTAACACACCGCGGTCCTATGGGAACGCTGCGAGCTTTAGCCCATCATTGACTTAATAAAGGATTAGAATCAGAGAAAAACACCGACGTGGGCCGAGGCTGGAGCGAGATCACAGCAGGTGGAGTGCAGTGTTTCCCACACATAGACTAATCTGTGGCGCACCGCCACAGATTAGAGACCGCCCGCCACAAATTGCGTTTCGTATTATTATATATATATTTTTTTTGTTACGCTATTTAAAACATGCATCGTCTAGTGCCGCCGCAGCGGTCAATTTGACAGCGGGGAGGGGGGTTTAAAATGTGGCGGCCCTTCGTAACTCTCACTCAAGCTACGCGTCTCTCCCACATACAGAGACCTACACACACACAGCCCCTCCCCTTCGTGCACACCGCGTGTCTCCGTCTCCATCAGCGATCATCGCTGTAAGCAGCTGTGTCTATTAATTTACCGCGGTAAAGTGGCCCGCATCTTTCAGCTCTATGAACATGCGGCCAGCATCGGGGAAAAGACGGTGCGCGTTTTGTTGAGAACTTACGGTAACAGCGGAACGTCCTTTCGGAGTCACCCATTTTTATCGAACAGAAAGCGCCCTGGGGTCTGGGAGACACGTTTTTGTGATTAAAACCTTATAGAGATGCCACCCGGCACACATAGCACCAGCCCCCTACGATTCCTCCGGCAGATTGTGAGTCCTCAGGAGGATAGCCACTCTATTGTTTACATGTATAAAGTACACAATTTGGTCCGCTAGTGCAATTTTCAAGTATTGTAACTATTTACTGGAATAAGGTGTGCGACTAATTTCACTTGACTCATGACCTTATTATTGCCCTCTACCACTGTACCAAAGACCAGAAACTTTTACTGTAGAAATATTGAGAAATATTGAGGTAAAGTAGCCATTTTGGTCCAAAATACCTCCAAAATAGTCAAAACATGTCACTTTTGATCTACTGTAACTTTTTACTGTAAAAAGGTGTGCGACTAATTTCACTGGATTCATGACCTCAAGATTGTCCTCTACCACTGTACCAAAGACCAGACACTTTTACTGTAGAAATATTGAGAAATATTGATTTAAAGTAGCCATTTTGGTCCAAAATAGCCTAAAAATGGTCAAAACATGTCACATTTGATCTACTGTAACTTTTCACTGTAAAAAGGTGTGCGACTAATTTCACTGGATTCACGACCTCATGATTGCCCTCTACCACTGTACCAAAGACCAGAAACTTTTACTGTAGAAATATTGATTTAAAGCAGCCATTTTGGTCCAAAATAGCCTAAAAATTGTCAAAACATGTCACTTTTGATCTGCTGTAACTTATTACTGTAAAAAGGTGTGCGACTAATTTCACTGGATTCATGACCTCAAGATTGTCCTCTACCACTGTACCACTGTACCCCACTCCCTCCCCCCCCCGCCGACCACCACACATTGCCTTCAAACCTGTGGGAAACACTGGAGTGTTAAGGTTATTTGTATAGCACAGGTACACACACAGGGCAGGTCAAAGGGCGGAACAAAACAAAATGGAGGCATTAACAAGGCGATACAATCATAGATAATCACAGTACTTTAACCCTTTGATGTTCACTCCTGGAAAAAAACAATGTATGTGTATATATGTGTATACATGTACGCGGGTATATGTGTATATATGTGTATACATGTACGCGGGTATATGTGTATATATGTGTATACATGTACGCGGGTATATGTGTATATATGTGTATACATGTACGCGGGTATATGTGTATATATGTGTATACGTGTACGCGGGTATATGTGTATATGTGTACGCGGGTATATGTGTATATATGTGTACACAAGTACGCGGGTATATGTGTATATGTGTACGCGGGTATATGTGTATATATGTGTATACATGTACGCGGGTATATGTGTATATGTGTAAGTGGGTATATTTGTATATATGTGTATACATGTACGCGGGTATATGTGTATACATGTATGCGGGTATATGTGTACACGGGTATAAGTGTATATGTGTACGCGAGTATAAGTGTATACTGTACATGTACGCGGGTAGATGTGTATATATGTGTATGTGTATACGTGTACACAGGTATATGTGTATACGTGTACGCGGGTATATGTGTATATGTGTACGCGGGTATATGTGTATTCGTGTACGCGGGTATATGTGTATACGGGTATATGTGTATATGTGTACGCGGGTATATGTGTATACGTGTACGCGGGTATATGTGTATACATGTACGCGGGTATATGTGTATACATGTACGCGGGTATATGTGTATACATGTACGCGGGTATATGTGTAGACGGGTATATGTGTATATGTGTATACGTGTACGCGGGTATATGTGTATACGTGTACGCGGGTATATGTGTATACATGTACGCGGGTATATGTGTATATGTGTATACATGTACGCGGGTATATGTGTATGCGGGTATATGTGTATATGTGTATACATGTACGCGGGTATATGTGTATACGTGTATGCGGGTATATGTGTATATGTGTATACATGTACGCGGGTATATGTGTATATGTGTATACATGTATGCGGGTATATGTGTATACGTGTATGCGGGTATATGTGTATATGTGTATACGTGTATGCGGGTATATGTGTATACGTGTATGCGGGTATATGTGTATATGTGTATACATGTATGCGGGTATATGTGTATATGTGTATACATGTACGCGGGTATATGTGTATACGTGTATGCGGGTATATGTGTATATGTGTATACATGTACGCGGGTATATGTGTATATGTGTATACATGTATGCGGGTATATGTGTATACGTGTATGCGGGTATATGTGTATATGTGTATACGTGTATGCGGGTATATGTGTATACGTGTATGCGGGTATATGTGTATATGTGTATACGTGTATGCGGGTATATGTGTATACGTGTATGCGGGTATATGTGTATATGTGTATACGTGTATGCGGGTATATGTGTATACGTGTATGCGGGTATATGTGTATATGTGTATACGTGTATGCGGGTATATGTGTATACATGTACGCGGGTATATGTGTATATGTGTATACGTGTATGCGGGTATATGTGTATACGTGTATGCGGGTATATGTGTATATGTGTATACGTGTATGCGGGTATATGTGTATATGTGTATGCGGGTATATGTGTATATGTGTATACATGTATGCGGGTATATGTGTATACGTGTATGCGGGTATATGTGTATATGTGTATACGTGTATGCGGGTATATGTGTATATGTGTATACATGTATGCGGGTATATGTGTATACGTGTATGCGGGTATATGTGTATATGTGTATACATGTATGCGGGTATATGTGTATACGTGTATACGTGTATGCGGGTATATGTGTATACGTGTATGCGGGTATATGTGTATACGTGTATGCGGGTATATGTGTATACGTGTATGCGGGTATATGTGTATACGTGTATGCGGGTATATGTGTATACGTGTATGCGGGTATATGTGTATACGTGTATGCGGGTATATGTGTATACGTGTATGCGGGTATATGTGTATACGTGTATGCGGGTATATGTGTATACGTGTATGCGGGTATATGTGTATACGTGTATGCGGGTATATGCATTTATGTGTATTGTGTATTTTTTTGGAGAGATTTTGATGTAGGACATTAATATATTTAATAACACTATTAGTGAAGAGATTAGTATATGACACAGGTCATTATTGGAAAATAAGTACCTTCAGAGCCACGGCTTTATAACAGAACACAACATAAACTTCAGTTCACTTTTAGGAATGCCCAAAGGTTTATTTAATGACAGAAAATAAAATAGTTCAAAAAGGCTTTCCCGTGGCTATGCTAGCAACAGTTAGGCTAGCAACAGTTAGGTTAGTAACTTCCAAACTAGAACTCTCTGGAACTGCATGAAAACTGAACAAAGAATCCTGAACATCAGCGGTGAGTGACCCAAACATAAACTTAACCTAAATCCATAACTCCATCCTCTGCAAATGTTCCTAAATGTGCCGTATCTACTTCCGGGTTTTTCGGGATCGCCTTTTCTCGCATTACATCAGTGTTTTTGTCATGAAAACGTAAACGGAAAATTCAGAAAACCTCCGTGCACATGTGTGAAGAATGTATATGTATAAAGTATTCTCCGATTAACATTTAAGTGTGTTGATTGAGCGTGGCTAGCTCCGGAGTGGCCGGAACTACTGTCGGAGTTATCCACGCATCTGAAAGACAAGCAGAGAGTGCGTTGCCAAAGGATTGTGTTGATGATTGTGTTGACGATTGTGTTGATGATTGTGTTGACGATTGTGTTGATGATTGTGTTGACGATTGTGTTGACGATTGTGTTGATGATTGTGTTGACGATTGTGTTGACGATTGTGTTGACGATTGTGTTGATGATTGTGTTGATGATGATAACTGTTGATAATTGTGTTGACGATTGTGTTGATGATTGTGTTGATAACTGTGTTGATAACTGTGTTGATGATTGTGTTGATAATTGTGTGTTTATAAATGGACTTTTTGATGGAGTCACTATCGATTGGTCCGTCGTCTGAATAGGTCACCGTGATTGGTTCATTATTCCACTCTGACATTTAGACCCCAATGCAAATCTGATTTTGACATTTCCAAAACTAATCTGTCACTTTTCCCGGACGGCGGCGACGCATAATTACACACAATATAAAAATCAGCTAAATAAAAAATTAGCTTGTGCTTCTTAATTAGCGGCCATTAGCGCGGCGCAGAGATTAGCATTTCTGATGTAAAAATGATCCGCACTCGGGCAGTTTGTTTTGACAGAATGACATCATCAACACGAGACGCAGATTGTTAATTACCAGAACTAAGAAGGAGTCGAGGCAGATGTTGCTGAGTCTGTGTGGTACTCGTTCATCAGTCTGACTGTAGCTGCCAAAGGTACAGCAGAAACTACAGATACTCAGACCCTACAGGGACCAGGCCTCGAACCAAAGCACATCTGTGACATGTTAGTGCCACATGGGCCAAGGAGCACAGGGACTGGCCTCCTGCTGGGACTCTGAGGAGCACAGGGACTGGCCTCCTGCTGGGACTCTGAGGAGCACAGGGACTGGCCTCCTGCTGGGACTCTGAGGAGCACAGGGACTGGCCTCCTGCTGGGACTCTGAGGAGCACAGGGACTGGCCTCCTGCTGGGACTCTGAGGAGCACAGGGACTGGCCTCCTGCTGGGACTCTGAGGAGCACAGGGACTGGCCTCCTGCTGGGACTCTGAGGAGCACAGGGACTGGCCTCCTGCTGGGAGGTCCCTGGTCCCGACCCCAGGTAGCCCCCCCTTCCACTTAAATCATCTGACCAGTGCGAGCGTGAAATCCTCCAGCCGGGACATATGGTTAGTCCTGGTTGAGTCCTGGGTTAGTCCTGGGTGAGTCCTGGTTTAGTCCTGGGTGAGTCCTGGGTTGGTCCTGGGTGAGTCCTGGTTTAGTCCTGGGTGAGTCCTGGGTTAGTCCTGGGTGAGTCCTGGGTTAGTCCTGGGTGAGTCCTGGGTGAGTCCTGGGTTAGTCCTGGGTGAGTCCTGGGTGAGTCCTGGGTGAGTCCTGGTTTAGACCTGGGTGAGTCCAGGGTGAGTCCTGGGTCAGTCCTGAGCTAGTCCTGGGTGAGTCCGGACTTTCCTGACCCCCAAGACCTTTCGGGAGGAGCAGGGAGAGGTCTGCGGCGCTAAAACTGGACCAGCTGCAAACTCTGCACACGTCTGTTTTTAGTCAGAGACAAAACTCTGTGTAAATGTGTTTCATTGTTTTCAGAGTTTAATGTTAATGTACAATGCCCAGAACGAGCCCAGAGCTGCACTTCCATCAGTCCAGAGACCAGAACGAGCCCAGAGCTGCACTTCCATCAGTCCAAAGACCAGAACGAGCCCAGAGCTGCACTTCCATCAGTCCAGAGACCAGAACGAGCCCAGAGCTGCACTTCCATCAGTCCAAAGACCAGAACGAGCCCAGAGCTGCACTTCCATCAGTCCAAAGACCAGAACGAGCCCAGAGCTGCACTTCCATCAGTCCAGAGACCAGAACGAGCCCAGAGCTGCACTTCCATCAGTCCAAAGACCAGAACGAGCCCAGAGCTGCACTTCCATCAGTCCAGAGACCAGAACGAGCCCAGAGCTGCACTTCCATCAGTCCAGAGACCAGAACGAGCCCAGAGCTGCACTTCCATCAGTCCAAAGACCAGAACGAGCCCAGAGCTGCACTCCCACCAGTCCAGAGACCAGAACGAGCCCAGAGCTGCACTTTCATCAGTCCAGAGACCAGAACGAGCCCAGAGGAGCTGCACTTCCACCAGTCCTGAGACCAGAACGAGCCCAGAGCTGCACTTCCACCAGTCCAAAGACCAGAACGAGCCCAGAGCTGCACTTTCATCAGTCCAGAGACCAGAACGAGCCCAGAGGAGCTGCACTTCCACCAGTCCAGAGACCAGAACGAGCCCAGAGCTGCACTTCCATCAGTCCAAAGACCAGAACGAGCCCAGAGCTGCACTTCCACCAGTCCAGAGACCAGAACGAGCCCAGAGCTGCACTTTCATCAGTCCAGAGACCAGAACGAGCCCAGAGGAGCTGCACTTCCACCAGTCCTGAGACCAGAACGAGCCCAGAGCTGCACTTCCACCAGTCCAAAGACCAGAACGAGCCCAGAGGAGCTGCACTTCCACCAGTCCTGAGACCAGAACGAGCCCAGAGCTGCACTTCCATCAGTCCTGAGACCAGAACGAGCCCAGAGCTGCACTTCCATCAGTCCTGAGACCAGAACGAGCCGAGCGCTGCACTTCCACCAGTCCAGAGACCAGAACGAGCCCAGAGCTGCACTTTCATCAGTCCAGAGACCAGAACGAGCCCAGAGGAGCTGCACTTCCACCAGTCCAGAGACCAGAACGAGCCCAGAGCTGCACTTCCATCAGTCCTGAGACCAGAACGAGCCCAGAGCTGCACTTCCACCAGTCCAGAGACCAGAACGAGCCCAGAGCTGCACTTTCATCAGTCCAGAGACCAGAACGACCCCAGAGCTGCACTTCCACCAGTCCAGAGACCAGAACGAGCCCAGAGCTGCACTTCCACCAGTCCAGAGACCAGAACGACCCCAGAGCTGCACTTCCACCAGTCCAGAGACCAGAACGAGCCCAGAGCTGCACTTTCATCAGTCCAGAGACCAGAACGAGCCCAGAGCTGCACTTTCATCAGTCCAGAGACCAGAACGAGCCCAGAGCTGCACTTCCATCAGTCCAGAGACCAGAACGAGCCCAGAGCTGCACTTCCACCAGTCCTGAGACCAGAACGAGCCCAGAGGAGCTGCACTTCCATCAGTCCAGAGACCAGAACGAGCCCAGAGCTGCACTTCCACCAGTCCTGAGACCAGAACGAGCCCAGAGCTGCACTTTCATCAGTCCAGAGACCAGAACGAGCCCAGAGCTGCACTTTCATCAGTCCAGAGACCAGAACGAGCCCAGAGCTGCACTTCCATCAGTCCAGAGACCAGAACGAGCCCAGAGCTGCACTTCCATCAGTCCTGAGACCAGAACGAGCCCAGAGCTGCACTTCCATCAGTCCAGAGACCAGAACGAGCCCAGAGCTGCACTTCCATCAGTCCAGAGACCAGAACGAGCCCAGAGGAGCTGCACTTCCACCAGTCCAGAGACCAGAACGAGCCCAGAGCTGCACTTTCATCAGTCCAGAGACCAGAACGAGCCCAGAGCTGCACTTCCACCAGTCCAGAGACCAGAACGAGCCCAGAGCTGCACTTTCATCAGTCCAGAGACCAGAACGAGCCCAGAGCTGCACTTCCATCAGTCCAAAGACCAGAACGAGCCCAGAGCTGCACTCCCACCAGTCCAGAGACCAGAACGAGCCCAGAGCTGCACTTCCACCAGTCCAGAGTCCAGAACGAGCCCAGAGCTGCACTTTCATCAGTCCAGAGACCAGAACGAGCCCAGAGCTGCACTTCCATCAGTCCAGAGACCAGAACGAGCCCAGAGCTGCACTCCCATCAGTCCTGAGACCAGAACGAGCCCAGAGCTGCACTTCCATCAGTCCAGAGACCAGAACGAGCCCAGAGCTGCACTTCCATCAGTCCAGAGACCAGAACGAGCCCAGAGGAGCTGCACTTCCACCAGTCCAGAGACCAGAACGAGCCCAGAGCTGCACTTTCATCAGTCCAGAGACCAGAACGAGCCCAGAGCTGCACTTCCACCAGTCCAGAGACCAGAACGAGCCCAGAGCTGCACTTCCACCAGTCCAGAGACCAGAACGAGCCCAGAGCTGCACTTTCATCAGTCCAGAGACCAGAACGAGCCCAGAGCTGCACTTCCATCAGTCCAGAGACCAGAACGAGCCCAGAGCTGCACTTCCATCAGTCCAGAGACCAGAACGAGCCCAGAGGAGCTGCACTTCCATCAGTCCAGAGACCAGAACGAGCCCAGAGCTGCACTTCCATCAGTCCAGAGACCAGAACGAGCCCAGAGCTGCACTTCCATCAGTCCAGAGACCAGAACGAGCCCAGAGCTGCACTTCCATCAGTCCAGAGACCAGAACGAGCCCAGAGGAGCTGCACTTCCATCAGTCCAGAGACCAGAAGGAGCAGCAGAAGAGGTCCTGGAACATGAAGGAGTGTCTTCCACAGTGCGGCGTGTGTAAACAGGAGCAGAGGCAGCTGATCAGATGGTTCTGGGTTCGAGGCTCTAAGTGGACCCAGACGGAGGCGTGTGTCTGCAGTAAGTCCTCAAGTGGAAAAGTGGCTGCAAAGTCAAACCACCTGGAGCCGAGGTGTGAGGGGGACCAGGACGAGACGGTTCAGAGACCTACCAGTCTCCGCTTGGAAATGCCGTTTGTAATCCTCTCGTTACGATCCTCAAAAAGTTAATGACACTGGAAGGAATGAAACTGGTAACGCTTTATATTAAGGTGTGCTTGTTAAGTATTAATAAGATATTAATAGACATTAGCAACATGCTTATAGATTGCTTATATGTACTTATAAACATATTAATAAGCTGCTCATTTCACTATTCTCTAAATTATTTTGTTCTAGTTATATGCTTTTAAGCATTTAATAAGTAATTTGTAAGATACTTATTAAAGGAGGAATATGTTTATAAATATATGAATAAGCTGCTTATTAAACTATTATCAATACCATGTTAATAGGCCACTAACAATATGCCTATAAAGATATTAATACCCTGCTTATTAATAGGCAATAGTGGTAATAGGCCACTAAAATATGCGTTAATAAACTGCTTATTACACTATTTTCCACCGGGCGGCACGGTGGCTGAGTGGATAGCACTCTCGCCTCTCAGCAAGAAGGTCCTGGGTTCGAATCCCGGTCGGACCAGGGCCTTTCTGAGTGGAGTTTGCATGTTCTCCCCGTGTCTGCGTAGGTTTCCTCCGGGTACTCCGGTTTCCCCTACCACTAAAAATATGTCCAATAGTTCTGGCATGCGCCTCCTTTACTGGCGACCCCGCTCCCATCTCTGTGTGGAGTGAGAGACAAATGCCCAAAATTAACAATTGTAAACCGCTTTGAGACTCAGATCTGCAGTGAAAAGGCGGTATATAAATAAAAACTTACTTACTTACTTACTTATTTTGCAGTACCTTAATCTAAAGCGAGGAGCATTTTTGTTAATGCATAAAAAAACACAACAATGATCTAAGATGTTTTTATTTATTCAAACAGCAACAATTAAAGTCTAAATGAAAAAATATATGAAAATTAAGTTTGTGCCAAAAGTTTGTTAGCAACTTCAAGGAGCCACTCATGCTCCGACCTGCTCTGTTAATGAATTTGGCTTTGGCAAAACAGTGAATCAGCTGACTTCACGAGCCTGAGAGATTAGCGGACAGGGGTGGGAACCTAAGGGTACCTCACGATACAATACGATACACAATACAAAGCTCACGATAAAGATTACAATAACGATTTTATCACGATATGACGATTATTGATATATTGGTCAGAAATATACAATATGCCAATTTATGGCATAAATAAAATAAAAAACTCTTTATTTCATGATAAATAGAATGGAGATGCGTAATGTAGCCATATATTAAGTAAATGTAGTAATACAGGTCGCCAGCAGATGGCGCCTCACAGATGGTTTTAGGCAGAAAGTTTAACTTTCAACTAATTTGCACCAAAGTGACAAAATTATGACCAGGATATGTAGACAACACTATTGGACACTCATTTATACCGTTTATCAGCAAAAAAAAAAGTGGATTTGAGGGTGAGTTGTCCTTTAAATCCACATTTTACGGCCACAAACTCTACTCGTCTGGCTCCCGCTCTAACTCTCGCTCTAACTCCCGCTCTAACTCTCGCTCTGATCAGCAGCTCTGATTGGTCAGAGCACGGCCCCTCTGTGCACGTGCATGACAGCCACGCAAGCGTATTTGGTGCAAAGCATCATGGGAGCTCGTCCACTGCGCAGAACAGGGAGGACCAGACGATGCCCAAAATTAGGCGAGTTCCGCTAATCTCTCAGGCTCGTGAAGTCAGCTGATTCAATGTTTTGCCAAAGCCAAATTCATGAACAAAGCAGGTCGGAGCATGAGTGGGTTCATCATGGCTCCTGAAGTTACTGACAAACTTTTGGCACAAACTTAATTTTCATATATTATACTTTAATTGTTGCTGTTTGAATAAATAAAAACATCTTAGATCATTGTTGTGTTTTTTTCTGCATTAACAAAAATGCTCCTCGCTTTAGATTAAGGTACTGCAAAATAGTGTAATAAGCAGTTTATTAACGCATATTTTAGTGGCCTATTACCACTATTGCCTATTAATAAGCAGCGTATTAATATCTTTATAGGCATATTGTGAATGGCCTATTAACATGGTATCGATAATAGTTTAATAAGCAGCTTATTCATATATTTATAAACATATTCCTCCTTTAATAAGTATCTTACTAATTACTTATTAAATGCTTAAAAGAACTAGAACATCATTTAGAGAATAGTGAAATGAGCATCTTATTAATATGTTTATAAGTACATATAAGCAATCTATAAGCATGTTGCTAATGTCTATTAATATCTTATTAATACTTAACAAGCACACCTTAATATAAAGCGTTACCATGAAACTTTATCTGTTTGGCACTAAAATAGATCTGGCTTTTCCCAAAACTACTTATTAAAGGGCAGATTGTAAGTTTCAGTGACACTTATTGGTTTTTGCATTAACACAATTCAAATATTTCAATAATGCAACTATATCTATATCTCTTCAACAATCCCAGTGAGTCAGTATAGGACTCTTTGAGCTGAGAGCTGATTGGCTGAGAGCTGATTGGCTGCGAGCTGATTGGCTGAGAGAGGCTGGGTCTGCTCTGCTTAAAGACGTGATTGAGAACAAGGGATAGAAACAAGATTGTTGATGCTTTGAGGAAGTTAGATGGATTTAATGTTATAGTTGGAAAGTTAGGTACCTGAGCTTTAATCAAACAACATTCAAAAGTACAGGTACAGTGGCGTCTCCAAAGTCGCTCGGTAAATGAAATAGTCAAAGAGACACAAACTTTTACATCAACTCCTGGATTTGAAAAAGAACCAAAAGAATCCAGTTTATGTCTCTGCGTTTCACAACACATCACCACGGCGATAATCACGGCTGCTGCGGCTGTGGCCACGATCACGGCTGTGGCCTTGTCAGACGTCCAGCCAAAAGACACGGGCGGATAATTGTTTTACAAGCAGCGGTGACAGGACTGACGGGAACCATAAGATTTCACAAGTGTCTGTGAGCGTCCGCGAAGAGGAAGCTGGCAGCCAATCAGCTCTGGCTGTCAGGCTGCTCCACGTCAGGAGATACAGGATCAGAGAGGCTACAGGCGCTACAGAGGCTAGGCTACAGGCACTAGAGAGGCTACAGAGGCTACAGACGCTACGCTACAGAGGCTACAGGCGCTAGAGAGGCTACAGAGGCTACAGACGCTACGCTACAGAGGCTACAGGCGCTAGAGAGGCTACAGAGGCTACAGACGCTACGCTACAGAGGCTATAGGCGCTAGAGAGGCTACAGAGGCTACAGACGCTACGCTACAGAGGCTACAGGCGCTAGAGAGGCTACAGAGGCTACAGACGCTACGCTACAGAGGCTATAGGCGCTAGAGAGGCTACAGAGGCTACAGACGCTACGCTACAGAGGCTATAGGCGCTAGAGAGGCTACAGAGGCTACAGACGCTACGCTACAGAGGCTACAGGCGCTAGAGAGGCTACAGAGGCTATAGGCGCTAGACCGAGTAAGTTCAGTGCGAGAGTCTTAACATTAGCAGATAAGTTGTAAATGTGATTATTTACAGTTCTATTGTCAGACAAACTTCACTTGAGAGTTCTCCCGAGTTAAAGAGTTTTTATACTAGCTTCTTTATAACGCAAAAGCCAAAGATGTGATACTTGCTCAAAGAGAGAGACCACAGACCAGGTGTCTCCAATCTTTATCACCCAGAGGAGACTATGAGTTTTAGAGACTTTAAATCTTGTTATTGTTTTCATTTCGATGTCCCGCCCTCCACCGTTTCACCAATCAGAAAGTCTGTGATCCGGGCGCCAGAACTCACCGTGTGGAGCATACTCACTGGTAAAGTACCATGTGGCGCTAATCTCACTGGTAAAGTACCATGTGGCGCAGAACTAAAAAAGGTCTCGTTATGATTCTCAAATCATTAACGACAAAACAAGGAATAAAAGCAGGATTTCTATCTTTGTGAAAAAGGTGTTGGTTATAGATTTGTTGTTGACAAAACTCTTGTCTATTCAGCTGTTATGGTCCCAGCTGGATTCGTCTGCATATCTGGCAACCTGAGTCAGGGAGAGTGGGAGAGGCTGCAGTACCACTTTTGGCCACACGTTTACACAGTTATGGCGGTCTGCAGCATGGATCCAGTTAAACTCTCTCCATCACTTTTATCTCCGGTCCCTGGGTCTGGGTCTGGAACATGGCGGCGCCGAGTGATGAGCTGGTGCAGATATTTATGAGGGAACTATGAGTTTTCCACCGTGGCCCCCCACACTTCACCCCCACACTTCACCCCCACAGCGGTCACAGAGGCCAGGGTTTATCAGGACGGGCCGGGCCACAGCTCATCAGAACCAGACAGCCCCAAATACATTTATAAACATTTAACTTCATCCATAAAGAGACACAGGACAGATGCGGGTCTGGTCTCGCTCTCTCGGAACACTCAGTGCTAATAAAATCTGTACTTTTTGATAGAATTTGGTAAATAAATGAATGTAAAAGTCTCTGTCAAACCAGATCTGAGGCTGAACCGGGACAGAATCAGTCAAAAAGTCTGTATTTATGTGTTTGAATAAAGTCTAGATCAGACCTGTTTTGAAGTAATAATACTAAATGCATCATGTAAATCTATTTTTTATCAGAATTAGGCCTGTTTGAAATGAAGACAGTTTTTATGGCTCACACAAGACTATTCAATAAGTCACATATCACAGCATGTCAAAATTAATCATGTTAATTAAGTGTACAAGATAATTACACACCATTAGCAACAATGATGGTATTTTCTTTAACAATAGGTTTAAATAGTCTTTCAGCAGAAGAACATGGGTTTAATTGTTAATGCACCAGGGAGCAATAATTGTAAAAATCCTAATTATGAATCTAATGAGGACGTTGAGTTGTTTTATATGTGTTTAAGTCGTATATAAGTGGAAACAAAGACGTCCGATGGCTTTGAACCACATGATCTGAATCAAAAAGATTCTGTATATACTCTACCTATAGGACAGGAGTTATATACTGTACCTATAGGACAGAGTTATATACTGTACATATAGAGCAGGAGTTATATACTGTACATATAGGACAGGAGTTATATACTGTACATATAGACAGGAGTTATATACTGTACATATAGAGCAGGAGTTATATACTGTACATATAGGACAGAGTTATATACTGTACATATAGGACAGGAGTTATATACTGTACATATAGGACAGGAGTTATATACTGTACATATAGACAGGAGTTATATACTGTACATATAGGACAGGAGTTATATACTGTACATATAGAGCAGGAGTTATATACTGTACATATAGGACAGGAGTTATATACTGTACATATAGGACAGGAGTTATATACTGTACATATAGGACAGGAGTTATATACTGTACATATAGGACAGGAGTTATATACTGTACATATAGGACAGGAGTTATATACTGTATATATAGGACAGGAGTTATATACTGTACATATAGACAGGAGTTATATACTGTACATATAGGACAGGAGTTATATACTGTACATATAGAGCAGGAGTTATATACTGTACATATAGACAGGAGTTATATACTACTGTACATATAGGACAGGAGTTATATACTGTACATATAGGAGCAGGAGTTATATACTGTACATATAGGACAGGAGTTATATACTGTACATATAGGACAGGAGTTATATACTGTACATATAGACAGGAGTTATATACTGTACATATAGGACAGGAGTTATATACTGTACATATAGAGCAGGAGTTATATACTGTACATATATAGAGCAGGAGTTATATACTGTACATATAGACAGGAGTTATATACTGTACATATAGGACAGGAGTTATATACTGTACATATAGACAGGAGTTATATACTGTACATATAGGACAGGAGTTATATACTGTACATATAGAGCAGGAGTTATATACTGTACATATAGGACAGGAGTTATATACTGTACATATAGACAGGAGTTATATACTGTACATATAGGACAGGAGTTATATACTGTACATATAGACAGGAGTTATATACTGTACATATAGACAGGAGTTATATACTGTACATATAGGACAGGAGTTATATACTGTACATATAGGACAGGAGTTATATACTGTACATATAGGACAGGAGTTATATACTGTACATATAGAGCAGGAGTTATATACTGTACATATGGACAGGAGTTATATACTGTACATATAGACAGAAGTTATATACTGTACATATAGAGCAGGAGTTATATACTGTACATATAGGACAGGAGTTATATACTGTACATATAGACAGGAGTTATATACTGTACATATAGACAGGAGTTATATACTGTACATATAGGACAGGAGTTATATACTGTACATATAGACAGGAGTTATATACTGTACATATAGGACAGGAGTTATATACTGTACATATAGAGCAGGAGTTATATACTGTACATATAGGACAGGAGTTATATACTGTACATATAGAGCAGGAGTTATATACTGTACATATAGGACAGGAGTTATATACTGTACATATAGACAGGAGTTATATACTGTACATATAGACAGGAGTTATATACTGTACATATAGACAGGAGTTATATACTGTACATATAGACAGGAGTTATATACTGTACATATAGACAGGAGTTATATACTGTACATATAGACAGGAGTTATATACTGTACATATAGACAGGAGTTATATACTGTACATATAGAGCAGGAGTTATATACTGTACATATAGGACAGGAGTTATATACTGTACATATAGAGCAGGAGTTATATACTGTACATATAGACAGGAGTTATATACTGTACATATAGGACAGGAGTTATATACTGTACATATAGGACAGGAGTTATATACTGTACATATAGGACAGGAGTTATATACTGTACATATAGGACAGGAGTTATATACTGTACATATAGGACAGGAGTTATATACTGTACATATAGGACAGGAGTTATATACTGTACATATAGGACAGGAGTTATATACTGTACATATAGAGCAGGAGTTATATACTGTACATATAGACAGGAGTTATATACTGTACATATAGACAGGAGTTATATACTGTACATATAGACAGGAGTTATATACTGTACATATAGGACAGGAGTTATATACTGTACATATAGAGCAGGAGTTATATACTGTACATATAGACAGGAGTTATATACTGTACATATAGACAGGAGTTTATATACTGTACATATAGACAGGAGTTATATACTGTACATATAGACAGGAGTATATATACATATAGACAGAGTACATATATAGACAGGAGTTATATACTGTACATATAGGACAGGAGTTATATACTGTACATATAGGACAGGAGTTATATACTGTACATATAGAGCAGGAGTTATATACTGTACATATAGACAGGAGTTATATACTGTACATATAGAGCAGGAGTTATATACTGTACATATAGACAGGAGTTATATACTGTACATATAGACAGGAGTTATATACTGTACATATAGAGCAGGAGTTATATACTGTACATATAGACAGGAGTTATATACTGTACATATAGAGCAGGAGTTATATACTGTACATATAGACAGGAGTTATATACTGTACATATAGGACAGGAGTTATATACTGTACATATAGGACAGGAGTTATATACTGTACATATAGAGCAGGAGTTATATACTGTACATATAGAGCAGGAGTTATATTACTGTACATATAGAGCAGGAGTTATATACTGTACATATAGACAGGAGTTATATACTGTACATATAGGACAGGAGTTATATACTGTACATATAGAGCAGGAGTTATATACTGTACATATAGGACAGGAGTTATATACTGTACATATAGGACAGGAGTTATATACTGTACATATAGACAGGAGTTATATACTGTACATATAGGACAGGAGTTATATACTGTACATATAGACAGGAGTTATATACTGTACATATAGACAGGAGTTATATACTGTACATATAGAGCAGGAGTTATATACTGTACATATAGAGCAGGAGTTATATACTGTACATATAGACAGGAGTTATATACTGTACATATAGGACAGGAGTTATATACTGTACATATAGGACAGGAGTTATATACTGTACATATAGGACAGAGTTAAATACTGTACATATAGGACAGGAGTTATATACTGTACATATAGGACAGAGTTAAATACTGTACATATAGGACAGGAGTTATATACTGTACATATAGGACAGAGTTATATACTGTACATATAGGACAGGAGTTATATACTGTACATATAGAGCAGGAGTTATATACTGTACATATAGGACAGGAGTTATATACTGTACATATAGAGCAGGAGTTATATACTGTACATATAGGACAGGAGTTATATACTGTACATATAGGACAGGAGTTATATACTGTACATATAGAGCAGGAGTTATATACTGTACATATAGGACAGGAGTTATATACTGTACATATAGGACAGGAGTTATATACTGTACATATAGGACAGGAGTTATATACTGTACATATAGGACAGGATAATTGATAAAGTAAAGTAATATACTCAGTTATAATTCCGTCGTGTAGCTCCGGGACCTCGACCCCATGACCATCTGACGTGTTGTGTGTGGGATTGGAGCTGACGGCTGCAGTTTCACGCCTGTCCGTCAGAGTTTGGATGTAAATAACTGAAATGGTTTTGATCTTGTAGCGAGGACAATGGGAGCCGAGGAAAACCCAAAACCACAATTTGAAACATCAGAAGTGGAGCACGAGAAAGAATCCTCCGACACCAAAACAAGTGTGGGATTAGAACCAATACTTTTACACTGTTTGGGTCTAGTCCCAGTTTAGTCCTGGTCTGGTCAGGGTTCACCTGAGCCCACACGGACTATGGGAGAGGGCTATAGTTATTGTAATGAATATTCTTTTGACCACAGACACAAAGTGACAGGGGCTCAGTTGGTATTGGGTTCGATCCCCCTCACCTGCTCCCACTGCTGTCTGCTGTGTCCTTGGGCAAGACACTTCACCCCACTTAACCAGAAGCCCTCGCTGAAATACCGAAACAGTCAACCAGAAATGAACTAATAAAGTGGATGAAATGAATGAAAGAATCAACGAACCCATGTTTCTCCATCCTAGACGTGCTCAAATCCCATCATAAAGAAGCTGGAACACCCAACATTGATATTATTGTACATGTTGTGGACCGTGAACAAGTCAGACTCCATGTTGCGTGTCTGTGATATAATTATAACTGTAAGATAGAGCCCTGTGACTCATTTTACAGTCTGACAAAGCGTTTCTATGGAACTGATAACATAGATGCATGATTGGGATAGAACCAAACAGTTTAGAGAGTCAGGAATAGTTTTCATGCCTGTGGTTTAAAGTTACACACCCCAGCTTTAATCCCCTTTGCCTCACCCTGGTCCTGGTCCTGGGATAGTCCAGGAGAGTTTACACCTGTCTTGTCTCAGACGTTGGGGTTTTTTGAGTCTGAAAAAACAAAACAAACGTCTCGGATGTATCTTGGTGTCATCCCGGTCCAACAGTTGTTCAGCGGAAAAGGAAACATGAAAACAACAGAAACAAGAGAAAGGCTGGAGCCGTCAGAGCGTGTTTGTCAGAGCGTGTTTGTCAGAGCGCGACCATCCTGAGTAAAACCGTCTGTGATTGGCCGGTGTGGCTGCCGTGTGCTTTGGCTCAGAACCCGCTGCAGAGACGAGTCCATCTGGAGCCCGTCTGCTCCGTTCAGGCCCAGGGCGACTTCAGAAACACCAGCGCTTCACAAAGGAGGTTCACAGACGAGTTTGGAAGAATCTAAAACACTTTTCAATTTAGTTTAGTTCAGAGTAAGTTTTGATTTTGAAACAATGTCAATTCAATGAATTCTTGTATAGCCCTAAATTACAGTAGAAAAAACAAAATATTTGATACTAGCTTCTTTATTATGCTAAAGCTAGATTTTATACTAGCTTCTTTAATATGCTAAAGCTAGAGATTTTATACTAGCTTCTTTATTATGCTAAAGCTAGAGATTTTATACTAGCTTCTTTATTATGCTAAAGCTAGAGATTTTATACTAGCTTCTTTATTATGCTAAAGCTAGAGATTTTATACTAGCTTCTTTATTATGCTAAAGCTAGAGATTTTATACTAGCTTCTTTATTATGCTAAAGCTAGAGATTTTATACTAGCTTCTTTATTATGCTAAAGCTAGAGATTTTATACTAGCTTCTTTATTATGCTAAAGCTAGAGATTTTATACTAGCTTCTTTATTATGCTAAAGCTAGAGATTTTATACTAGCTTCTTTATTATGCTAAAGCTAGAGATTTTATACTAGCTTCTTTATTATGCTAAAGCTAGAGATTTTATACTAGCTTCTTTATTATGCTAAAGCTAGAGATTTTATACTAGCTTCTTTATTATGCTAAAGCTAGATTTTATACTAGCTTCTTTATTATGCTAAAGCTAGAGATTTTATACTAGCTTCTTTATTATGCTAAAGCTAGATTTAGGGGCTGTAAAACTAATTTTGAAATTCAACTATCTCTGAACTACTGTAATGGAAAAGATCAGTTTATTATTATTGACAGATTACAGATTGACACTTTAACAATGACAGATTAGGGCCCTTTGATGATGATAGATTAGGGCCCTTTAATGATGACAGATTAGGGCCCTTTAATGATGACAGATTAGGGCCCTTTGATGATGACAGATTAGGGCCCTTTAATGATGACAGATTAGGGCCCTTTAATGATGACAGATTAGGGCCCTTTAATGATGACAGATTAGGGCCCTTTAATGACGACAGATTAGGCCCTTAAAAGTGGTTCTCACCCCCGCTCCTCGGAGCTTACGTTACTCACATTTCCTGTTCAAATCTTCCTCTAAATGGGCGTATCCTGGAGGACTAAAGGGGGCGTGAACGAGACTGGGCCGTTTACATTGCTCTGGGCGGGGGGCTGCTGACGTCAGGTCTTGCTTCAGACGTCAGGTCTTGCTTCAGACGTCAGGTCTTGCTTCAGACGTCAGGTCTTGCTTCAGACGTCAGGTCTTGCTTCAGACGTCAGGTCTTGCTTCAGACGTCAGGTCTTGCTTCAGACGTCAGGTCTTGCTTCAGACGTCAGGTCTTGCTTCAGACGTCAGGTCTTGCTTCAGACGTCAGGTCTTGCTGCAGACGTCAGGTCTTGCTTCAGACGTCAGGTCTTGCTTCAGACGTCAGGTCTTGCTTCAGACGTCAGGTCTTGCTTCAGACGTCAGGTCTTGCTGCAGACGTCAGGTCTTGCTTCAGACGTCAGGTCCAACTTGCAGACGTCAGGTCTTGCTTCAGACGTCAGGTCTTGCTTCAGACGTCAGGTCTTGCTTCAGACGTCAGGTCTTGCTTGCTTCAGACGTCAGGTCTTGCTTCAGACGTCAGGTCTTGCTTCAGACGTCAGGTCTTGCTTCAGACGTCAGGTCTTGCTTCAGACGTCAGGTCTTGCTTCAGACGTCAGGTCTTGCTTCAGACGTCAGGTCTTGCTTCAGACGTCAGGTCTTGCTGCAGACGTCAGGTCTTGCTTCAGACGTCAGGTCTTGCTTCAGACGTCAGGTCTTGCTGCTGACGTCAGGTCTTGCTTCAGACGTCAGGTCTTGCTTCAGACGTCAGGTCTTGCTTCAGACGTCAGGTCTTGCTTCAGACGTCAGGTCTTGCTGCTGACGTCAGGTCTTGCTTCAGACGTCAGGTCTTGCTTCAGACGTCAGGTCTTGCTTCAGACGTCAGGTCTTGCTGCTGACGTCAGGTCTTGCTTCAGACGTCAGGTCTTGCTGCTGACGTCAGGTCTTGCTTCAGACGTCAGGTCTTGCTTCAGACGTCAGGTCTTGCTTCAGACGTCAGGTCTTGCTTCAGACGTCAGGTCTTGCTTCAGACGTCAGGTCTTGCTTCAGACGTCAGGTCTTGCTTCAGACGTCAGGTCTTGCTTCAGACGTCAGGTCTTGCTTCAGACGTCAGGTCTTGCTTCAGACGTCAGGTCTTGCTTCAGACGTCAGGTCTTGCTTCAGACGTCAGGTCTTGCTTCAGACGTCAGGTCTTGCTGCAGACGTCAGGTCTTGCTTCAGACGTCAGGTCTTGCTTCAGACGTCAGGTCTTGCTTCAGACGTCAGGTCTTGCTTCAGACGTCAGGTCTTGCTTCAGACGTCAGGTCTTGCTTCAGACGTCAGGTCTTGCTTCAGACGTCAGGTCTTGCTTCAGACGTCAGGTCTTGCTTCAGACGTCAGGTCTTGCTTCAGACGTCAGGTCTTGCTTCAGACGTCAGGTCTTGCTTCAGACGTCAGGTCTTGCTTCAGACGTCAGGTCTTGCTTCAGACGTCAGGTCTTGCTTCAGACGTCAGGTCTTGCTTCAGACGTCAGGTCTTGCTTCAGACGTCAGGTCCAACTTGCAGACGTCAGGTCCAACTTCTGTGCCAGTGTTGGCGCCAGATTCAAAATTCAAATGTAGTAATACAGGTCGCCAGCAGATGGCGCCTCACAGACGGTTTTAGGCAGAAAGTTTAACTTTCAACTAATTTGCACCAAAGTGACAAAATTATGACCAGGATATGTAGACAAGACTATTGGACACTCATTTATGCCGTTTATCAGCAAAAAAAAGTGGATTTGAGGGTGAGTTGTCCTTTAATGATGACAGATTAGGGCCCTTTAATGATGACAGATTAGGGCCCTTTAATGATGACAGATTAGGGCCCTTTGATGATGACAGTTTAGGGCCCTTTAATGATGACAGATTCGGCCCTTTTAATGATGACAGATTAGGGCCCTTTGATGATGACAGATTAGGGCCCTTTAATGACGACAGATTAGGGTCCTTTAATGATGACAGATTAGGGCCCTTTAATGATGACAGATTAGGGCCCTTTAATGATGACAGATTAGGGCCCTTTAATGATGACAGATTAGGGCCCTTTAATGACGACAGATTAGGGCCCTTTAATGAGGACAGATTAGGGTCCTTTAATGACTTTAACTCTTCAAACTTCTGGTTCTTGTGTTGGAATCTCTCTGAGCGTGTAGGAGCGGCAGCCATCTTGGTTTGACAGGTCACACATGGCACTTATGCTAATTTCTTTGGCTCCTTTCACGTGCCTTCTCTTGCCCAGATGAATGTGGTTGGAATGTGCAGCAGTGGCAAGAAAACAAAGCGCTCGAGGACTTGAACCAAGAAGCACAAAGTCTGGAGGGAAAAGGGTCTAAAACGGGCTAAAACATGGAGGAAAAGTCAGGAGTGAAAACAGACACACGCCGCCACACGGTTCAAAGTGTCTGTGATCAACGAGGGACCATGATTTCAGATGGTTTAACGTCCTATTCTCTTCTATTGGTTTTACAATTACTGCAATCACATAAGAACTAGCCTGGTCTTACCACACCATAGTACTAATTTCATTTCATACTAAGGTCTAGATTTGCTCCATTGACTCCGTGAACAGGTGGGAGGGGCTAACTCCTTTTACAAATTGAAAAGATTGGATCTGAGTTTACTGTGACGTATGTAATGCACCCGAGAGAGTGAGGCATTTAGCATTTAGCCTAGCTTTAGCATTTAGCCTAGCTTTAGCCATCTCCTTTGCCACTAATGGAGCCCGTGAGAGCCGAACCAGACCAGATTATTTTACTATCGCATTCTCCGACAAACTACAACCAGCAAATTCAGCACAAACTCTTGACGACATCGACACCAACCTACAACACCCGCCTCCCCCGCTCTCTGATTGGTCGGAGAGGATTCAACCGTGGAAACTGCAGCCACTAGGATCAGACCCAGACGTACATGTAGGAAATGATCCTGGACCAGAGTTTACACATGGTAAGACCAGGGTGCACTATGACACTGGTTCTCTGGGCTGGACCTTAGCGGTAGCCGTAGCTACACGTGTTAGCGCCTCTGAAGGTGAAGTGATGGAGGCGGCAGCAGCTGTGTCCGTAAACACACATCTGCTGCGGCTGTCATGGTCCGTAACCAGGTGAAGGTGAAACCATAATATTTGCTTTTCACAGAATTGGAATTAGCAAATAGCAGACTGTTAATCCAGATGGGAAAGATGGGGATTGGATTCTCGATTCAGAGATAGATAAAATAAATAAATACAAGTGTCCAGCCATAAAAACAAAAACATTAAACTCATTCCTTAAGACAAAGCTCTAAAAGTTTAATTAATTAAACAAAATTAGAATAATTTACAGCATTTTCAGAATATAATTGTATCTACGTACATCCTGCTTTACACGTATATAACTTTACACTGTATTTCCAGATATAGAGAGAGATGTTTTGATATTGCTCTTACTGCTGTCCTGTCTGTGTACTGCAACAGTGACATTTCCACACTGAAGGACAAATCAAGGTTCTCTAATCGTCTCTTATCAAACTACAGCTCGGGAGATACCAGTAGCTCGCCACTCTCCCGCATGTAGCTCTCCAAATGATAAATACTTACTGTTTAAAGTGAGAGAACCATATCCGACCCTAATGCTCACATTTCCGCAGACGCAATCTTAAAACTGTTCAAATTTAGCCTAAAAATAACACATTTAAGCTTTAACAGAGTCGTTTTCTGCCGTTTCTGACCTGAGAAAGCAGATCTGTGGATGAAGACGGTGCAGACCCAGACTTAGAGGTTAATAATATCCTATTAGCCTGGGTTATAAATGTTGGAGTGTTTTACATGTTACACGTGTGCCATCAAATAAATCAATAAAAACATAAACGCCACATTATTATTCAAAGTCCTGGGTCTCTCTCTGGTCTCTCTCTCTGGTCTCTCTCTCTGGTCTCCCTCTGGT